GAACCGATTTACTCCAAACCGGACCCGGACGCTTACACTTGCATTAGAGCGAGACGCGCGAATCTGATTTCGCGCCAGGAAAGTTTCCAATAGGTCCGACCTCATTTTTACTTTCCTCCGGAATCAGGTCATAGGATTGCAATGCTAAGGAATTATGCCTCCACATTTTTGAAAATCAAAGGGCTATATTGAAGCCAATGACCTATTAGCCCACTGGCTAAGAGGGAGGCACCCATGGCTTGAGGTCATGGGTTCGAGCTCCCCGGAGCGCAGATGGTGGAACAATTAGTAGTGAGGGCTGCAAGCGGTAGTGTGGGAGGCTGAGACTCGGTGGGAACCCGCAGCTGGATAGGTGGGGCCAGCATGAAGTTTGGGAGGGCCAGCATGAAGCAACCACTTCGGTGGGACCCTGCGGCTGGATAGTTGGGGCCAACTTGGAGCTGGGGAGGTCAGCGAGCAATCACTTGGGGATCGACTCCTTATGCGCTGTAGTTGAGGGTAGTTAGGAACCTGGGAGCCATCGCGTGGCTACCGCGATTTAATTGGAGGCAGTTTCTGAGGGGCCAGGGGCTGTTTCCTCGAGGAATAGTCAGGCGTAAGCCTGAAACCTCGGTATAAAAAAAAAGGGCTATATAGAAAAAAATCCTGAGTAATGTGAATCCTGCAAAGGCCTCAACATATCTATGGAATTTATGCAATTTCCATTATTAGAAAAAAAAAAAAAGAAAAACCAGGTATCAACGAAGGGAATAAGGCAGTGAATAAAAAATCATGGAAAAGTTTGAACCTTAATTTTATTATGTATATTTAGTCCTGTTGTAGTGTCTATCGAGAAAGCAACCAACAAATCGACATTCATTGATTGGATTTTCCAGGCTTGCTTTTGTATAACGTCAGATCGAGTCGATCGGCATAAGAACGTCAGATCGAGTCGATCAGCCTAAGAACTAATAAGGCCTTTCTACCCGTCGTCACCTCAATCATGAAATATTAAACGTAGACTATTTACAAAAATTTTTTACGATCAGAGACTATTTTTTGAGACGAATCTAATAAGCCTAATTAGTCTATGATTTAACAATACTAGTACAGTACTCGTGCGATGCACGGGGTTTATTATCTTCGTCCCTTTTAATGAACAATTTTCAGTTAAAATTCAAAGTACTTACTAAATAATAGATCAGGTCATTAATAATTTAAAAATTAATAAATATAATGAAAATAAATCTATATATTATTGAACATTGTCTTCTATACAACGTTCATGGTTTGATTCTTTGGCACGTCATCGTCGCCACAAATTAGATTTTTAAATCATTTCTATTTGTGACATAGGAGATAACAACATACGACTGACCATGACAAAACAATGATTGTCCCTACTCTTATTTATAGTCATGGCATAATAAAACATAATGGGAAACTACCAATGATGGAACTTGAAAGGGATTCTAACATCATAAGGAGTTATAGTCATTCCAACACTTTATCAGCTGCGTGATCGCCAGTGATATCTTACACCCGAGAACGTGAGTGGAGAACTTTGTCACAACCATGTGTCCCGTTACACAGACCCATAGAGGAGATATAGCTAGTTACAAAATATCAAGTTAAAAAAGATCGGATTAGCTTAAGAAATAAGATCATGCTTATCAATGTGACATAATTGTTTACCAAAATTAATGGAGTTTGTTACAATTTAATTTGGTAAGGTTTTTTAAATTAATTGAAAAATAATATTTTTATTTTGATATGTATGATTTATCAAAGCTCGAGAATTTTCTACAATATTTAACTTCAAACAATACGAAAATATTGTGAAATTTATTACCAAAAGAAATCCCAAAGATTATCGACAGTATACTGTGTGTAAATAACTATGAAGTGTGTTAAAAAAACAAAATATAAAAGATTTGTTATAAAAAATCCGAGATTTGTTATCACAATCAGATCAAATTTGTTAACAAAATCATTTATTATCAAAATGAGATCAAATTTGTTACCAAAATCCGAGATTTGTTATCAAAATCCGATCAAATTTGTTACCAAAATCTGATTAAATTGGTAGACATGTGGGGCCAATTGATAATGCTTATATTAGTAAGTCAACAATTAATCTTCTATTTTTAAAGATTATGAGCCATATCAATGTGACATAATGTTTACCAAAACTAATGGAGTTTATTACAAATTAATTTGGTAAGGCTTTTTGGATTTATTAAAAAATAATATTTTGATATGTATCATTTATCAAATCTCGAGATTTTTTTTCAATATTTAACTCCAAAAATCCGAAAAAAAATGTGAAATTTGTTACCAAAAGAAATTCCAAAGATTATCGGCAAATAGTGTGTGTAAATAATTATGAAGTGTGTTAAAAAAAAAAAAAAAAAAACCGATATTTTAAAAGGTTTCTTATAAAAAAATATGAAATATGTTATGACAATCCGAAATTTGTATCACAATCAGATCAAATTTGTTAAAAAATTCGAGATTTGTTATCAAAATCCGATCAAATTTGTTAACAAAATCAGATAAAATGGGTTGACATATGGGGCCTGTTGTGTACAAATTATTTTTATTTTACCGAGCACCGAATCAAATTATTCGTTTCCCGGGTCGTTCTCTTGAGGAAGACTATTCGGAATTTAGATTGATATTGATAGCACATAAAAACAAAATGAATCCTAAACATTCTAATCAAGATAGATTGATAATGATTCATTATTAACTATAAATAATATAAAACAACTAAAATGATAAATGAAGAAAATGCGAAAGATACTAGGGAATCGGGAATAAATATTTTGAATCGAAATGCAATTATCGACTTGTGATTGTTCGGTTAAAGAATTCGAGTCACCTACACGTTTAGAGATTTATCCTCAATACCTTTTGGATTATGAGAATAAATATAAACGGTAAATTAACGAGTTGTTTAACACATAGACAATACCTTTCGGATTATGTCTATTTTGTATGAGTCTCGATCGAGTGACCTCTTCCCTTTCGGTTCAAGAGTCAATTAAAATACACTATAGAATTTTTAGTCGTCTAGTCTATTCGGATAGTGATCGTCACAATAGAACACATCATATTCAATTTGAAAACAAGTTTAACATTGAAGTGTCACTCTTCAATACTTAGAAATCAATTGCAAGGTTGAATTGTCACTTTTCAACAATATGTCATTTCAAAGTAAAAATCAAAAACCGAATTTAGAATTAACTCATACAAAGTGAACAATCGACGAGTACGATAATCACATACGAAATCAAATATCATCTCTATCCCTAGCAAATGATTTAGCTATTCATATAAAAAAAATAAACTCAACATAAGTTTCATTGCAAATTATCATTACAAGAAAAACAACTTACAAGTAATCCAAGTCGAGAAATAAAGTTGATACAAACGCCAAACCGAAAACAAATGCACGCCACACCGGAACAAGTACAAGCCTTGGAGAACACCTCCAAAATTCACAACCAAAAGAGAAACTAATCTAAGACAACATATAAGAATGATGGTAGTGGTGAGGATGATAATATTTTGGATTGTGAGGGATAGATGTTGGTTAGATGATGGAGCTATTTATAGATATATCATCAACCATAATCCACCAACATCAACCACAATTTACCAACAATAACCACAATTCAACTAAAAATCAACCACAATTCATGTACCAAAGAAAGAATGGAAGAAAAGGTGAAAGAAGATAGGAAATTTGAGATAAAAGATGGAATTTTCGGACCAAAACCGAAAGTGATTTTTCCGCGCGCATTCGCGCACGTCTCGGGCAGCTCTGCTTCTCGGGCTTGTTTTGGGCTCGTCCGAACTCGGAATTGAATTCCGTTTTTTCCTACGCGTAGCTAATGAACCCCTCTATCCAATGATGCTTGCAAACCACACTTTTGCCTAGAGTAAAAATTATGTGGAATTTTCAACCTTTAAAGGGTCGGTAACTTGCGCGGCTTTGCATTTTTGTTCCGTCCGGATTCATCCAAACTCGAAATCAACTTCCGTTTTTTTCTATTGTAGCCAACGAGTCCATCTACATAACCATGATGCCCGGTCTATAATTAACTCCTCACGAGACTTCCGACATGCACACCAAAAACAAAGAAAAACCGGAAAACACACGAAAAACACAAAGAAAACCAAAATAGAACAAAACACATAATAAAACACAAAACGAACTAAAAACTTACGAAATAACCTAAAATAAAGAAAAATGAGGGGAAAAGAAGAACAACAATATAGCGAAAAATGCAACAAAAATGGTTACAACAAATGACATTGCAATTCCAGCAAACACAAGAATCTCTCATCACAATTCACAAACAGGCCCGAAGCCTTGAACCTAAAAGATTATTCCTTAACTAACCAAAATGAGCCATGCATTTCAAATTGGCGCCTCAACTATTTGATATGCCCTGGCATGTATATGCCTCCTGCAGACCCATGCTATTTGTCCGTCGTCCCTGTACCTGACCCGCCACAACCCAAACTTGTCGGCAATATCCCTCCCTGTCGAGCACCCCTGGTCCCTCAAAAAGTCGAGCAACCACTGCTGAGCCGTCCCGAGTTCCTCTCTTATGTCCCTCGACCTCCCCCCGGCGGCCACGGCAACCCCCACCCCCACCCCTGCTGCTGCCGCCGCCTCCGCCCCTCCGTAAACCGCCGGAGACTCCACCAGCCTGGCCACCTCCCTACCCAGGTCAGGTATCATCTCCCCCATGCCCACTGCCAGGTGG